GGGGGATCTTACACATCATCCCAGCAATAAATCTGAATGGCAAATAAGATGGCCTCGGTCTTTAATTTGTCCTGATTGTATTAGTCATCTTCTGTTTCTTGTGATGATCAGAAGAGGAACCATTGACATATGGAAGTCTGAAAGGATTAGCCGTCAGGAACAGGGTAGAGGGCAGTTACTTTTTTTCTCTTCCCAGACACTCTTGGGGACAGAATGAATGACATGTTAGCCCCCAAAAGAATATCACATCAAGAAGAAATGGGACCCTAGAAGTGGATTTGTCCCTATTTCAAATGATTTAAATTCAATTTAAAGGCATCTTAAAGAACATTGCATTGAAGTTTATAATAACCTATAATGGTTAAACGTCTTTACAGAATTTAATTTTCATTTTTTGTCATGATAATGGTGATGCAGGGCTGGAAGTCATTTTCAGGCTTAGTTTACTTTATAAATAGGCTTAAAGAAGACAACTGTAATATCATCTCAATAAAAAATTACAACCAAAAGGCTAAATCATGAGACTGTAGGGATCTTGATTCTACTTATAACAGCAGCACTTATTCCCTACCTTCATAAATTATGCAAAATTTGTAACAGACACAAAAGTACATAAAATTGTATAATGAACCCCTGTACATCTGTCTCCTGGGTAATCAACACTTCCCCACCTGCTTCATCTATCTTTTATTTTGAGCTCAAGTGTTTTAAAGCACATCTAAGACCTCATTATGAAGGATTTTTCAATTCTCAAAGTGCTGTAATTTCACTCATCTTTTCCTCTTACTGATCCCACTATCAGGACCTGACAGAAATAGAAGTAGAGATGCAGGCTTTAGATTTGTCTTAGGGTTCCTGTTTGTAAGAGGCTGTCCTCTAGGTATGACATGGCTGTGGACCTCTGGAAGTCTCAGCAGCCTTGATTCCATTCAGGAGGTCTACACTAGATTAATTGTCCATTATGGAGGAAGGATAGGGGCTTGTGTGGAGCTAACAGCTGCTGAGGGGAGGAAGAGACATTTTCTTCAGTGGTGTAGCCACTCAGAGGTTGCCCATGCTTCTGTAACTCTGCACTCTTTCTTAAGTGAGGAACCCTAAGTCAACGCATTAGTTTACAAAGATAGACTTGGTTGAATTTATTTCTTTGGTTCATCCCTCATATATTATGTGGGGTGAGGCAATATTTGTGATTTTCCCCAGGAAATGTTCACACAGTGGAAGAGTTCTAGCATATCTGTCATAACCGCTATCCTAGCTCTACTATATTTTCTGGTCAAATAACACAGTTCTCAATAGCCTCTATTTATAAGAAATATATCATATAGAGGACTATGGTTTGTTTGTTTAAATTTCTGTCTTTCTCCCCCAATCCCGTGTGTGTGTGTGTGTGTGTGTGTGTGTGTGTGTGTGTGTGTGAATATATGCATACATATGCACATTTTTATGTAAGTGTGTAAGTGTAGGCATGTGTCAGGGAGCCCATGGGGAGGTGATAGGATAGCCTTGGATGTCCATTGTCATTATGTACCTGTTTGAGGCATGGTCTCTTGCTGTTCTCCATTTTGTATACCTGGCTATCTATCTGGACCATTGACTTCTCCTGTGTCTGTTTGATTTTTTCTATAGAAGCAAGGGGGCACAAATGCATACTACCACTTCTGCCTTCATGTGGTTCCTGGGGATTTGAACTCAGCTCCTCAAACCTATGCAGCAAATGCTGTTTCCCATAGAGCCATCTCCTCAGGCTGGGATTTAGCAGTTCTATTGTTTTACTATGTGACAGTCCTGCTGCTCCCAACCACAATGATGAAACTCATATAACTGTGGTAGATACTTGGTCTACCACAAGAAACTTCAAGGTTTGAAGTGAAGTGATAATATCTAACTTATAAATTAAAAGGAACCCAAATGGCTATGCAGAGACCAGATAGTACTTTCAGATGTGGAGGGCCACGCTGCGACTTCAGAAGACAGCAGAGCTATGAGAAGCATATCTCACTAGACACAGTTCTGCTGTTTAATTCCCAAAGTCATTCATGCCAGCGTTTGCTTGCTGGGATTTGGTGAGGGAGCAGAATGGGCCATGGCTTCTTTCTGGACTGTCCAGAGGAGTGGGGGAGACCTCAGCTTAGCAGTCTGACTTAGAGCTTCACCATCAGGGTTCTCTCCTCACTTCTCAGGTGGGTGGGTCACTATGTTGCCATGTGCTTCAAAGGATATCAGTGATAATTTAATATAACCAGACACCCATTTTTTTATTTTTATTTTTTAAATTACACTCATGATATTAATCACATTTGTGGTATTCATAGATTACATTTGCAGTATTCATTCAAATATATATATATATATGTATATATATATATATATATATATTTAATTTTAAATGTCAAATGTCATTTCTTGAAGGGGGTAGGAGGTCTTAAATACAGGCTTCTAGTACAATGGGAGGACCCTGGAGGGCAGAAGTTCGCTACTGATGTTTTACAATCTTGCATCTAAGCTGTTAACGCCCATTATTCAGGATACACAGACAAGGAACTTCCCTTAAGCATTCAGGAGGGTGAAACCTGTAGTGGGTAGCCATTCCAGCTTGGATCTGGAAGTTCCAACCCCCATTGAGACTCTGGCAACTGTCACGCCTATGAGGCGGGGCCAGGGGAGGCACCTGGAGACCTGAGACCTGGATGGGCGAGTACTCTCTCTGTTCTGGGACCCTAGACAGTGGAGGTGGACCGAGCAGAGCTCCAGAGAACACCGCTGGACTTCCATACACCTTCCCCAGACCCTACAACCTAACGTTCCCTTTTTTTGTAAGTCACCCACTAAATAAATCTTCCTTTTAACTACGTGGGGTGGCCATAATAATTTCACCAATAGGAACCTGGCAAGGAATTAGCATAGGGAGGATATCAAGCAGATGCCCATTTTTGCTGAAATGCAGTTTTGTTTTTTTACACTGGTCAATTCATTTCTCTTTAGCTAAATCAAAATATTTCAATTCATTTCAGAAGGTTGGAGTGGGTAAGAAAGGAATGGTGGTTTTTTCTTCTCCATTTCCTCCTCCTCCTTCTTCTCTTCCTCTTTCTCCTTCTTCTCCTCCCCCTCCCCCTCCTCCCCCTTCTCCTCTTCCCCCTCCTTCCCTCCCCTCCCCCTCCTCTTCCTATTACTACCACCAGGATGATAACAGTGGAAAGAAATCTAAATTTAGAGCCCTAATACCCAAATTTCTGATCCAGGTCTAATTGTTTACAAATTTCAGGGTTTGTGGGTGAGACCATTATCTTCTAAAACTCAGAACCTTTGACCATCTAACTTGTTGCACTGTTGAAAGGATATGATATTTTTATTCAGAAGAAAGTACTTTGTAAATACTTGGTGTGATACACAAAGTGGTTTTGATGTGATTGCCAGATGGTACCACCAGGAGACCTTTATCTTCTCATCTGACTCGTTTACTAGAAATGAGACAATCTTAGACAGTTCACCGGCTGACCCATAAATCATGCTGTTCTTCTGGGGAAAGTCCAGTGAATCTGCCATGTGTCTAACCCAGGAAGACATCATCAAAAAGCAGTCGACAATTCTTCATCTATTTACTTATACGGTATCTTCACTTACTGAATTCTTTGCATTTTGTATATTATCTATGTAGTAATAGTTGAATGCATGGAACACCATAGGTTTTAACAAAATTGTATACTGAAATCATATTAACATATGAGAAATTTTCATTCTTTCCCTGCCAAAAGAGATATACACAATGAGATACAATATGGCTCTGTTTTCCATGTATATAGCTTTCCCACGTGTTTAAAATGGTAATGCTTAAAGACCCAAAGATTTATTTTGTAAGTAAAAACACACTACCTTGGATAGTCACAATTCTAGTTCCAACCTAGAAAAAGGTAACACAGTTGCCTCTTTTCACTCTTGATGTTAGTTTCTCATGACCCACCGTGCTCCAAAAGTACTAGATGGAATTTTCCAGAGACAATTTATGAATTTAAAATTGCATGCCGTATTGAATAGCATGAGGAAACTTTGCACAATCTGTTCCATCCAGCCTGCATCACAGATCACCCTGCTGTCTAGCATATCTGCATGCTATATGCCATCCACCCACTAGTCACTACGTAGCTGTCTTTTCTACTATCACACCCATTGTTGTGGTGTTGCAATGTTTATGTTCGAGTTGCCCTTATTTGTTCCCCAGTGCAGGGGGTATGTTTTCAGAAACTTGAATGCAGGAAACAGAAGCTGTGTTTCCTTAAATGAAAGGTGAAAGTTCACAATATAAGAAGGAAAGAAAAAGAAGTATGTTCTGAGTGTGCTGAGATCTAAAATAAGAAGGAATCTATTTGTGTGTGTGTGTGTGGTGACTACTGAAGAATGGATGAACACCAAAGCAAATTTTCAGATGATCTATCTATAATTTATTTATATTGCAGCTGACATTAATCCTGCAAAGAGACTTTTAGGCAGGGAACACTGTTTCCTTTTTCCAGGGTATTGTGTCTGGTAGATAAGCTGGTAGGCAGACTTTATTCTCTCTTGCTCCTTACCTGTAACATTTATATAAAGAATTTCACAGAGTAAATGCTGCTTGGGGAGAGCATTTCATTTTAATATGCGTCAATGACTTGTCACACACAATTTAAAGTCATGATACTTCATAGAGACCAAAGCGCAACAGAGTAGTTATTTTATCTACTAATCACATGCTGCTGGACTTGATTTAAACCTGCTCTCCTGCCCTCAAAGCATTTTCCAAATCACTGTCTGCACTTCAATAGGCTGTGTGCAATGTTCTAGTGGAATCTATTTCTGTCCATAAAGACCCTCCTCTCTCAGGAGTGACATTAATGATTATCTGTCTCTTTCACATGGGCACCCACCAGCGAATTGCCTAGGTGACTTCCTGCTCATTCAGATTATTAGAATTTTGCACTTCACACTGGCTAGGCAATGAGAAAAAAATTCTTTACCTCCATCTGGAAGCTCCCTGTTCCAGATTCATGCAAGCTAGGCACAGAGTGAGGACACAACATTCTTCCCTGCCTCCCATTGAGGGTGGAATTTCTTATTGTTTGATTCTGAAGGCAGCAAGCATTGCTGCATCTCAAGGGAACATTAATATTAAGCAATGGCTCTCTTTGGGAGTGAATGCTGAATCTGAAGAAGAAATGAACAAAAAAAAATTAAACTTGCAAGAGGGGCTGAAGGAAGACAGAGACAGAGTTTTAAAGACATGTCAAATCTAGAGGGATTAGAGGAAAACATCTTTGTCTATAAAGGTGTCAATATGTTACCAATCTGTATAATAAAGACTTTCAAAAATATTGGGTTGAGATCTGCATCATGCTTTTGATGTACCTCAGAGCCTGAGCATTTTTTATTACAACAGGGCGTGTGTTGTTTATTCTTTACTGATTTATAGCAGAGTGTTTTAGATTATTTTCTTGCACTATTTCTTCACACCATATTCACATATTTTGCAGTGTGGTTTTGTGATCCTTCCCACCAATGGTTGGCATTGTTTTCTCTGTCCTTTGAAGGTGGATTGAACTTGTGACACACTCTGACCACTAGGATTCAGAGAATGTAACTATATATCTATCAAAGTTTTGGAAAGGAAAAAATGTTCTTTGTCACAATTGGCCAGTCCACTGGAAGAGGCAATCACATGTAGAATAGCTTAGCTGTGTCCACAGTGGCCACTTCAGAAAAGGCTATATCCAGCTGAAAACACTGACCCACAGCTGACCAGAGATCATAAATTAGTCCAGTTGACACATGGACATAGAAGGGTTCATAGGAAGTGCTTTTTAACATGATTTTGAGTTTTGGATGGTTTGTTTTACAATGGTAGCTAACTGGTAGCAGTGGTAACAGGATACAAGAATATACACTGAGTAATTGATTTTCTTTCATACCCTGAATTTAAAAGATGATATTAACACTCATGAAGCAGCAGGCTAACTAATGACAGGTTTGTTTGCTTTACTTACCCCTGAATCTCCTGCATACTCAGTAGGAGATGGAGCTAGCAATACAATCTCAAGGCCAGATACTTCAAAGACCTGTGGAATGTGAAGACTTTGAGGGAAATGGTAATGATTTGAAAGAAAAATAAATAATAAAATGTTGCAAAAATGATACATAGATGTTCACAAATCCATAATCTGGCATCCCCCAGTGAAATCTCATGTGAATACATCATTTAAAAACCAGGACACAGACTGACATTTACATAATGCTATTAATCAGGCCATATGGACACTATTCATTTTAGACCAGTTTTTACATTCATTGACTCTCCCTCTCTCACTTTCTCTCTCCCTCTCCCCCCTCCTGTGTATGTTGTGTGTATGCGTGTATATGTGTTGCTCTATGAAATTTGGTTCTATGTATAGACTTATGTGATCAATCATACTGAAGAACTGATTATCAGCATATGGAAATCTTTATGACCATCTTATATAGTTTTAATTACCCTACCTTCCCATCTCTGTCTTCTAACATCTGTTAAATACATCTACATCATCTTTAGCTTTGTACTTTGCAGAATGTTATAGAAGTGAAATCATGTGGCATGCACTTTTTTGGAGATAGTTTTGAATGTTAAGTTATGGAACAATATGATTGAGTTTTATGATACTAGGAATACTTTAGCTGCACTAAGAACACTGTTTGGGAGAAATGAGGACTTCAAAAAGGAGAACAGAAAAGATGCAATTTTAGTAATCCAGGTAGGAGATGGTGATATATAAGAAAGGTAGAGAATGTGTGGGCAGAAAACTCTGGGAAAAATATACACTCAGGAAGTTATATTGACAGAATTTGTGTTAACTGGTGGAATAAGAAGTGGGAAATAGGAGTTTAGATTTCATCCACTGTTCATTCGTTTGTTCAAAATATTTGAATGCCTATTATAGTACTAGATGTTAGTGATGTAACAGTGGACAGCCTTGTGCCCTACTTTAGTTTGGGAGGAAACACACACACACACACACACACACACACACACACACACACACACACACCTTCTACCAGTTGCAAAGCAGATATTTAAAACTGGGTGATAAGGATAAAACAAATAGTTTTGTATTTACTTGCATTACATACCATAAGAAATCCCAGAACTGGATGTTGAAGAAGGAAGGGCATGAGTGAGTAGGGACGTGATAGCCTCAAGATTCTTCACATGATGTCCTGAGCTCAGGTGTGTAAATATCTCCTCATAAGCTGCACAAGGGAGCACATACCTGTAGTAGAAGAGTCAGTGGCAGTTCTGGGCCACTCTGGTCTACACAGCAGTTTCCAAGCCAGCCTGAACTACATAGCTTGACCCTGTCTCAAAATAGTCAGTTAATTTATTTGATTATTTATTATTGAAATTATAATTCAATTACATCTTCCCATTTCCCCCTTCCAAACTCCCGCACATACTCCTGCTTTTCTTCAAATTAATGGTGTCTTTTATCTTGCATTCATATGTGTGTGTGTGTGTGTGTGTGTGTGTGTGTGTGTGTGTGTGTGTATACTTATATATTTCTAAATTGTGGAAAAGGGGTTGGACAGATTGTAAGAGGAAGAAGATCCAGGAATTTACTGTGAGATTTTGTCTCCTAGTAATATCAGATGGTATACCCATAAAGTCCCAGTGAATTTCTTAAGACCTTTCAGACCTCAAATCAGTAGTCTTTGAAATTCTAGCTATCATTCTGTAGTGGTGTACAATTAAGGAGACTGGAGAGGGTAACAATGTGAGTTCACACCCATTACATGCTCACAAGGTGTCTGGCACTGTTCTAAGCTTTTCATATTTATAAACTCATTGACAATTCACTACAAAGCACAGAGTCCATTGCTCTAGTCACAAGTCTATATTGTCTTTCCTTAATACATGTGTCAGGATTAATAAGCACATTCTTTCACTTTGATGTTTATTATCTTGTGCTTGCAGTATTTACTTACCACTTACATACATACATATATATATGCATATATATATAAAATATATATAAATTGTGCTTAATCTCTAACATGTTCACTTTAACAAATGCATATCTACCATGTCTTTTAAAATATTTAATTTCCTATAAGAGAGGGTACTCATCTTCAAGGCTCTGTCAATCTTCCCTGGGATACTTCCTCAGCTGATTCTTAGTGTGTGTTTATAGGCCGTACATTTTCCATCACTAGGGTGATGGCCTAGGAAACAAAATTTAAGGTGATGCTCACTTTAGGTGCTCATTGCAGGTCATATTTATATGACCCTGTAAGTTAGTTCCTCCTTAAATTCTGTGTTCTAAGTAGCTACTTGATTCTTCTTAGTTCCAGCCTCATTTTCTATCTGGTCTTCCTAGAGATTAAGTACTGTCTATGAGCTTTTATGACAGCTAACACACTTTATAACAGCATCTTTGCCACCTTGGTTTGTGTTCCCCACTTGTTTGAGGGAAGAGGCAAACTTCCATTCCCACAGTCATCTATCCAATATGTGTCTCATAGTAGGTACACGATCACTGTTTTTGGAGTTAATTAAGAGGAGTTCCTACAGGAGCATGCTCCATCAGCCTTTCTCTGGCACTGGAGTATACAGGGTAGCTGTGTTGATTCTTTGAAAACAAATAGTCAGGGTAATGAAGGATCAGGTCTACTCAGGGTTACCTAATAGTGGAGGTGGGCCGGGGCACAGAGGAGGGAAGAGAAATTTACATTTAACAGAATCATGGAATTCTGGCTTTGAAACTCAAGACAGAAATAGGCAGAGACACTGCTGTAAATTTCGAAGCTATATAGCATAGAAGCAATGTTCCAAGCTTTTCCGGGAAAGTAAGATCACCTATGCTAAGAACAGAAAAGGCAGAAGCAATCAGACAAAATGTGTGCAGTGCTCATTTATAATCATCATCTCCCTGAGTAACACCCAGACCCTCTGTACAGGAGTAACTTATCTTTAGAGAAGCTAGCTGCCCTTCCCAGCTTGCTGGTCAGAGTGGTCACGTGACAGAGCAGGAATCACCTTCTGTGGGAAAGGTGTGGCTGGATCCTAGAGAAACAGGAGGGAAACCTGGAACATAATGTTCTCAGGGGTGCATAGACTTTAAAAATGAATATACAGTTTCTTCTGAGTTTTTAGAAGCTGCTCTTGTCACTAGATACTGATTCTTTGGAGACAATGGCACAGTTCCTGGAAATGTTTATACAAATCAGTGTGACCAAGAGTGGAGTTTCTTGAATTTTACTTGTCATCCTCCATTCTCTCAAATTACTGTGATATCAAAGTGTGTTTTTACATTTGTTTGTTTATGTGCTTATATATGCATGTGCAGACAGCATGGCACACTTATGGAGGTAAGGGGACCACTTGTGGGAGTCCCTGTGAGTTCTGGGAATCACATTCAGGTCCTTGGGTTCAACAATAAATACCTTAAATACCTTTAATTTGCTGAACAACCCTGCTAACCCTACACATTCTTTACAAAGTTTTGCCAGGGCATTAAATCTTGGCATAATCAATATTATGTATGTTAACGATCTTTAGGCTGTTTGTAATATGTTTGAATTATTGGCTTCTTCTAAGGTCTAGACTGTTTTTCTTTCAGCTATCACTAACCATGTATCTAACCATCTCCAGACATAGATGCCTTACAGGGATATTTCTAGGTACATAGATATAGTATGTGGCTGGTAGCAAAGTCTGGCTGTAAAAGCAAGGCTCCTGTGAATTGTACTTAATGAGCCAGACTGAGAGAGAGAGAGAGAGAGAGAGAGAGAGAGAGAGAGAGAGAGAAAATGTCCTTGGTGGGATGGTCTTAGATCCTTGTATCATAGAGAAATAGAGAAAGCATCTTGGGAAGTCATGTACACTGTATATTATAAAG